AGTTATCTTCATCCTGTTCCACTCAGTTTGTCAGATGTAGGCCTAACATTTTATTGGACGAAAGCATTGGCATGACATAGACTGGGCCCGGCATGGCCAGGTGGTTGAGGCGCTCGACTCCCAATGTGAGGGTCGCGGGTTCGAATCCCCGTCACACCGAACATGCTCGCCCTTTCAGCCGTGGGGGCGTTATAATGTGACGGTCAATCCCACTATTCGTTGGTAAAAGAGTAGCCCAAGTGTTGGCGGTGGGTGGTGATGACTAGCTGCCTTCCCTCTAGTCTTACACTACTGAATTAGGGACGGCTAGCGCAGATAGCCCTCGTGTAGCTTTGCGCGAAATTCAAAAAACAAACAAACAAACAAAACAAACAGACATAGACTATCCACTTTAAATGATATAATTTTTATTGCCTTATTAACATCTCTGTGCATCACATTTCAAATTCAGGCCTTACTCATCACTTCTCCTATTGTATCAATTCGAGCAAAATTGCATAATTTTATGTTACAAAATTCTATCGAGGTTGAAATAGTCATACATATATATATATATTTATTTATTTATTGACTTTTTTAAAGGCTAATTAATTATGTATGAATAATTTTTATAATAATAAATTCATTAGAAGATCGCCTAATGCGTTCTTTCTGTATTTAAGTTATTAATACATATATCGAACGTTTCCGGTAATTCATTGCTCAGAGAGTTATTCCACATTTTTAAGGTTTTTTCAGTAAGACGCCACCTCGATTCGAAATTTTCATATAAAAAATCATCATTACTTTTCATCCCATCGATCTTCTCTAGAAATCTTTTCATCTTGACATTATTTTTCAATTCACTAAATAATACCTCGGTATCAAGAGGTATATTTAAATTTAAAACTTCTTGTTTATTTTTCAGTACATTTAACACGTTTTCCTTTCCAACCTGTCTGCTAACGATTGCAGTAACAATTAAATTGTAAGTAAACGTCATTAAGTTATCACAATAAAGATTTTTTGGTATGCATTTTAGCCACTCTAGAAAGAATTTTTTATCCATATCAAAATAATATTGAATATAGTCGCAACCAGTTATAACATACATTATTTGTATAAATTCAATACGTTCGTCGTCTGTAAACGACTGTAAGACAGGTAATTCTTTAGTAAATTTAACTAAAGTTTTACCGTCGATTACATTGATATTCGAGTTCTCGAGTTCCATAGAAATGATTTTGTTTGAAAAATATTCCATTAATCCAAGTCCAATCATCACCATGTCCGAATCGGGTGACTGCAGAATGACATGCTGTTCCGGTAGCTTCGCGGCCACGTTCCACATAATCGTATCGGCCTCGTCGTGTCTCACGTTTTCTAAGTTACGAACACCACCCGATGAAACTTGCGTTACCGTTCCTATACCCTCTTTGTCAAAATGACCAACACATGTGAAAGTTTGCTCCGAATCAAGTTCGTTTTGCAAGTCGTCGATAAGCACTTCACATATTTCACCAATAAACTGTCGCATGGAATATTTTTCCTTAGTACTGTGATGTTTCATTTTGGGCACCCCTTTTCTTTCACCGTAGTTGTCGAAAACCAGTACAACAGTTGACGCATTTTTCTCATCAAATAACTGATGTACGTAATCTTTCATCGATTTTCCAAGTTTTTCGACTCCTTTTTCCTTCTCAACATTCTGTCTTTCAATTTCACGTTTTGTGTTTAGGATATACTGCATTCCGTCTACAACAACAGCGGGTCTGTTTTGTTCATTCCTCTGTCTTGCTTCTTCTGTAGACAACCATCCAAAGCTTATACCGTTGAAACACATGTCCAAAAAAGACTTGACAAATCCACGCTTTTCTTCTGCCATATTTATGTAACCCTGAAAAGGAAATAAAATAAATGTTAAAGAAATATCCGAGCTTTAATAAAATTTGAGACTGAAACATCAAATAGAATGAAAACGCTGAAACAAATATATAATACTAGCGAACCTGTGGGCCATATTTTTGTAAACGTTTCTATAATACAACCTACTATTTGAACTACTATTTTGCACTTTTTCAGTTTAATGATCATTTCCGGTATAATACAAATTAACGTCTTTAACCAAGTTACGAACAGTAATTAGTAGGCCTAATTACGTACATGGTCTAATGTAAATCAATGTTGATGAGTTACGTGACACACAGACACTGAATCATATTACATAGATATCCTGCATATACCTTTGGTCCAAAAGTAGAAAGTTACTTACAAGTTATGAACTACTGTAGAACTGGTGGTTTACTGAACGAATCCTGTACGAAGTTTGTCTGAAATATCTAGAGATAATTCGGTTATAAAGGCATTGACGGCTACGTCAGGAAAAACCGAAACCAAAACTAAAAGCTGCTTTAGTTCAATTATCCTCAGTCGGCTATCGTGCATGCACGGGTTCTGATCAAAGTACACAGTCAGTCATATAGGAGACAACAGTATTTTTACACAAATTGTTTTACACGATTTGTAAGTTTAAAAACTCTCTACACTATTTGTTATATCCTAAGAGTGTGAAGTGTATTAAACACTACGTTGTGAACATTCGTCAATACAGTATATTCCAGGAACGTTTATTTTATATGTTTCTATGTAGATTTATATATATATATATATGTGTGTGTGTGTGTACACATTACAATTTCGGAATACTTACGAAATTTACTTGAAATAATATTAATAAAAACTAGTTTACTTTTATGGTTTTCAGTCTCATTTTGTTATCGTAGGACCACACGAAAAACAACAACACAACTTTGAACAAAAGGTAAAGTTAATTTGTCTTGTGATTACAAATATTTCTGTTGTTTTAGTTATATCTCTTTAGGTAAAAGCGAGTTTAACCACCGAATACCTACACGAACAATATAAAAAAAAAAAACCTAGTATAAAGGTTATTGATTTTTCTAGCTAATAGAAATGAAAATTCTATCAAGTTCTGAACTTCGACAGTTTTTCTTTTTTTTTTGTAAATTCGCAAGAACTGATAACAATTAAGCATTCGAAAAATGAGCGTTCATTAATCAAACAGACAGCTATACGTGTATTTTAAGTAATTTACACGTATAGCTGAGCCATATTTCTAAAAATAGTAAATCATTTTATTTTTACAAGATCTCATACAAAGGAAATGAAGACGATCTTGATTAATTCTTTTTTGTTTGTGTGTGGGGGATAATCATAAAATAAAAGATGTAAAAATAAATACCATTTATTCAACAACAAAAAAATACATTTTGTTATATTTACCCAGTCATAAAATTCTTTCCCTCTCTTCATTATAATTGTTGCTATTTCAGTTAGTATCATTATTTGGCCGAACGAGTATTATCTGTAATTTCTAATATGCTATTTTTTTCATTTTGCATTATTACTGGTGCTATTATTACCGTCATATATTATAGCTGTTGCTATTTCAGTTAGTATCATTATTTGGCCGAACGAGTATTATCTGTAATTTCTAATATGCTATTTTTTCATTTTGCATTGTTACTGGTGCTATTATTACCGTCATATATTATAGCTGTTGCTATTTCAGTTAGTATCATTAATTGACCGAACGAGTATTATCCGTCATTTCTAATATGCAATTATTTTTTCCATTCGGTATTATTACTGGTGCTGTTATTACCGTCATATATTATAGCTGTTGCTATTTCAGTCAGTATCATGATTTGGCCGAACGAGTATTATCTATAATTTCTAATATGCTATTTTTTTCCATTTTGCATTATTACCGTTCGTAGTGCCCCCCCCCCCTCACCCCCAGTGGCACAGCGGTATGTCTGCGGACTGAGTTTCAATACTCGTGGTTCTTGGTGGGCAGAGCACAGATAGGCCATTGTGTAGCTTTGTACTTAACAACAAACAAAGAAACTGTTCGTAGTGGTTCGTGAATGACTGAAACACAAAAGAAGAAATGCCGTAACAGTTTCGTGTTTTGAAAACCTGTAACTAAATACTACTGATCTTGTAACAAAACATGTTAGCGAAAAATATTACTTTGTCCAGAAAAAACAATTTGGTAAAATCAAGCTCAGAAGGAACAGTGAATCAAAGTTCACACAAGTTTTTACAGGTTGTGTGAAATCAAGCTCAGAAAGAACAGTGAATCAAAGTTCACACAAGTTTTTACATGTTTTGTAAAATAAAGCTCAGAAGGAACAGTGAATCAAAGTTCACACAAGTTTTTTACAGGTTGTGTGAAATCAAGCTCAGAAGGAACAGTGAATCGAAGTTCACACAAGTTTTTACACATTGTGTAAAATAAAGCTCAGAAGGAACAGTGAATCAAAATTCACACAAGTTTTTACAGGTTGTGTGAAATCAAGCTCAGAAGGAACAGTAAATCAAAGTTCACACAAGTTTTTACAGGTTGTGTGAAATCAAGCTCAGAAGGAACAGTAAATCAAAGTTCACACAAGTTTTTACAGGTTGTGAGCAGTAAAACTTTTGTTTACTTTATTCACAACGTTTCACCAGGTGATGATGCCAAGTGACCTGGTGAAACGTTGGGAATAAAGTAAACCCAAGAGCAGTACGTTGCTGTAAGAACTGGATTTTCTTGGTACAAAACCAAAACAAGTAATATTTAAGTTGTTGTGTTGAAATGAAGCTACACGGAATGTAGCTGCACTTGTTTAGAAAGTAACTGAACTTGTGATAGCCCCCCCCCTGCATTGTGCTTATCAATAGCCAAGTATAACCTTATGGGGGGTAAAATAATTAATATATATATATATATTTAACAGACAGTACCTTCTATTGTGGAGGAACCACAGAAGAACTACATAAAGGGTGTCTAGATATTTTTAGGGTAGTAGTAATATTCACCTTTCAAAAACAAAGAGACGTCTACCGTTGATTAACTAAAAGGCTCCTTCATTGATTTACTTGTAAACTGTAAAAAAAAACATATGCAGTCGATTAACCAGTTTGCACATTTTAAGAAACAATATTATTATTTTTTCACAAAGAAACATGTTAAAATATTACATTATGTACTTTTATCTTGTTATCTGATTGCAGCGTTCATCTTACCTTCATCTGAATTATACGTTTTTATTTGGCAATCAAGCAGCTACTCACTCGGTCAAGAATCTTCAACTGGCGCCATTGTTTTAAGTTATTGTAAAACTGAGCATTTAGAACCGTAATTATGATTCTTTCTGCAACTACATACATTCATGATGTTAAGAAGGTAATGTTCAACACACCAATAGTAACAATTTACTGCAAGTTATGACTTACCTGTATATCTGATTCTGTCTTGAAGGAATCGCGTCTGGAGTTGATCTGGAACACTTACGAAACGATTATTAAAAACTACATATTAAAACCTCGGTAAAGCAACCCATAACTACTGCTTACGTCACATATTTTATCGCGTACAGGGACTGATCAAAGTGCCATGTTCTAGCATGTACATCCAGTTGTGACGTCACAACGTCTGGTCGGTAGCATTTCTATACTATCTGTCGGAGATTTCATCATATTAGGAAGCAGTGATATGAATGAGATTTCTATAAGGTTGAGTGAGATTAGAAGGAGTTATATTTTAGTGCAGATATTACGTTGCAATACAGATCTTTGCTAGAATTTAATTGTGAATTCTCAAACGAAAATGTAAAATCGCTCCGTTCAAGAACGACTTTAAGTCCAATGGCGGACTGGCCAGCCGGAAAACCAAGCAAATTCCCAGTAGTTCCCATCCATCGGCTGCAGGACGATGCCTCTTTTGGAAAGTTAAATGTTTTCCGATGTTCTCTTTCTCTGATTCTTTACTGTTTCTACAACCACAGTATTGTTTTGCGGTAAAATGATACACTTAGCAAGACCTAATTCATAACTAAATCAGTGAATCACCTGTTGAAAATCTGCGCTAGTATCTCGAAACGTTGTCCATAAACTTCCTAGACAGATGCACTCTGTCAACAATGCGTTTAAAGACATAAACTTGTATACAGTTGTTTGTTCGTAAGTATTTAGTATTTAATAATACAGTAGGTCTCATTCAGTCATGTATGTATTAATATAAACTTGTAACATTGTTTATGCAGTTTTTCAAAGTTCTGCAGTAATAATAATTGTTATATATATTGTGAAGTTAGTCTGAAACAGTGAATTTTATTCAATTAAGCAAAATGTTTCGGTAAGAGAAGCACATATAAATAATACGGTTGCGTTTGTCTGTCCGGAACTTTTCTCCAAATTTCTCGATCAAACGCTACAAATGTCATATCGTTAGTAAGGTCTTTGTCCGAGGAGACCGGATTGCATGTTGGCTTTTCCATTTATAATAATCTTACCTGGTTTTTGCTTAGCCAAACCTTTTAATGCAAACGAGTATGCTACACGATGGCACAATGTCCTTGTCATCACGTGACGACTGGCTTTGATTTCAACTTTCGTTTTTTATTTGCAAAATATTTCACACAAAGAACATTTAACCCGCGTATAATTTCCTAAAAAAGTTAACATTACACTAAGTACAATTTCTATGGGCTTTCACGACTTATTTAGGTCTAAAATACACATGTGCAGCTCATACGCAGCTCGTTCAAAACCATATGCTTATCACTTTGTGAACACGCATCCAAACGTTTCTGCATATTCAGCTAAGTTTACCTTCATTACAAATTTACATTTACTTTACTTTGTAATAATGTAGCTTCGGTTCGTTTTATAGACTGCTATAAACACCTTTTAGCTACTTTTCTTTATTACGGGTTTTATTCTTCGTTATTGTGAGTTTCTTTGTTTCAATTCGTAAAAACCGTGTCATACAATGAAAGCTCGTAACTATTTTATACTCTTTACACTAGTATAAATACCATTACTTTACTTTAGGTGTAATTTTATTAAAGAAAGTTAATTATAAGTGAATTCGTTTGTCTGACCACATGAAATTTATTCAAATAGAGCAAGATTTATAGATCTAACACATAATACCTGCAAGAAAGCGTAGCTTAAATGTCGTACGTGAAAATGATAAAATAAGGAACATTCAAGTGAAGGGCATGAAAATTACCGCAAATGTTTTACGGGTCGCGGCTAGTGTAAAATTAAATTACAACTGATTGTGTAAAGCAACTAGTCCTAAGCGTCACTCTTCAGAACTTCAATAGGCCTTGTAAATTTTAGGTTACATCAGGAGGAAAACAAAGTTGAGTGCTTGATTGGTAGTCTGTGTGACATTACATCACAATAAGATTCGCAATAAGTACTAGCAAACCTTTCTTTACAGTCAGTCACCAATTCCTTTCATCCAGTACTAGAGTACATAGTTGAGTTGAACACTGAGTGACAACCAAGGGATTGGAGTGCCAGGTGCTGATCCCTCATGTGGAGACTGGCTGCATTGCTTGAGTTAGAAAAAGAGTTATTTGACCAATTTTTACACGTCGCCTTCTGGTTGTATACTGCCTTGGTGATTCCCAGTCTTTTGCTTTTCGTAGCTACATCGTATAGTATTTTGTTGTCTTGCAACTACACTTGTTCTGAATATCAATGAACACCTTTTTTTGTTGTAATTTTTGCTTTACTAATGCAGAGGAAATCCTAATAGTAGAATTGTATTACATTGGACATAGTGGCTTCTTTTGTAAGCTTTTTAGTATCCTCTTTTAGCTTTATTCTGCATTTCCTAGCACATTTATCCAGATGATGTTCTTACCATGCAGTTGCTTTGCTTTATGCTATCTATCAAAGGTCCAACTACTCTGAAATTTATGCAAGACTATCTGTTAGTTGTTCACATCATAAGTATTATGTTGATGATACTGTTTATTAGCAGTTCATTACATTCAGCAAATCCAGATGAGATCTTACTGTATAGGTTCCAGTTCTATTCTTTTTTTGCAAGTGGAAATCTTAAATGCTCCACAAGCCTTACCTAAAATGATATTTCTCTGCAATATGTTGAATAACCAACCAGTTCTCTTGCTACCTGTGGCTATAATGACAGGTGATTGTACACCACGGTATTTAAATGGATGCTGACATTTAGGAACTGGAATGTCCTTATTCATTTTAAAATAGCACTGCCTTAATGATCGAATGCATTGTTTCTACATTCCAAGACCATAATGAAATATATGATTCCTAAGCACCTTTGATGCCCTATCATAGTATTGAGGCTCATGAGGTGTAAAAGGGCGTTGATGGGGGCAAATAAAATGCATACTATGACTAATTTTAAGCATGTGTCTTGTATTGTTCAATCTTATCTAGCTGTGGATGGAGTGGATAAGATCTTGGTAAAACATAAGCAGGTGACATTATTTTGCTCTGTTTCCTTTTATTGTGCCGATGTCTTTGTTGGCCCTTATCATGGTTTTAATGTCACTAGCAAGGTTGAGTTTTCTGTCAAAGGCTACCCCTAGATGCATTTCAGTGTTTATGCTGGAAGGATGGCCTTAGCCACAAAGGACAGTAAATGTTATTGACTGTGCAGAGCATGGCAATTTCATGATGAATGACCATTCCTGCATGAATTGGTCACCCTGCTGATGGAAAGTTGCATCTTGTTTTAGCTTTCACTTTTGACAGATCCTCTTCTGTACACCAAAATATTGTCTACAAAGGTTAGCACATAGCATCTTTATGGATTATCAAGGTCTCTGGTGTAGATGTTAAAAAAGAATTGGCGAAAGTGGTGATCTTTGAGGTATACTAGTATTCAATTTGATACTGCCAGATACCATACTTTATGATGCAATTTTTTGGTAGTTTGTGTATCTACAGGACGGATGTTTTACACATGTTACATTGATGTAATGTCTGAGCATTTTGTTAGCAGAACTTTACTGTAGACATCATCCAGATATAATTCTACTGTCAAAGTATTCTGGCTAGCTTCAAAACTATCTCATGTATCAGCTGCAAATTTAGAAACATTAGTCTAGGTTTCTCTTTCTCATGATAACCACCCAGTGATGAAGTAAGCAATGATTAAGTTTGATAGGAAAACCTTCTAGTTACGGCTTTCTCTGTGATCTTAACAATGATGTTTTATAGGGTGATAATTCAACAACCTTTAAGACAAGAGTGATCCATCATGGGTCTGGTTAAGGATTTGATAAAAACATGATGCTACCCTTTGCCCAGCTGCTTTGATACTCTGACACTAATTTCAACAGAGTGGTTTCTGTAAGTTTCTTAAAGGTGGGGATATGCACATGATTTAGACCCTTTTTATAAATGTAGTTATTGCCCTAAATTTTTTTATCATAGTTTAACACTATTCTGGCTATATTGTGGAGAACAGAATGTAAATCTTTGTCATTAATGTTTTCACCCACATCCAGGTGGAACATCAATCATTGAAGTCACCAACTACTAGATACATAGGTTTGTTTTCAGAGAGGAATCTCTCATCTTGAACATGATGTGCTGTATTACCATTTCATGTACACATTGGTGTTTTGGATATGTGAAGTAGCTTTGGGTGATTTACCTGAATGATTTGTTGCTTGAAATGGTGATCGTTCCATTGAAAGGTGTTATAAAGTACATAGTGGATGTTGCTACCATGATAAACTGATATTGGTATCACTGAAAGGTGTTATAAAGTACATAGTGGGTGCTACTACCATGATAAACTGATATTGGTATCACTGAAAGGTGTTATAAAGTACATAGTGGATGCTGCTACCATGATAAACTAATATTGTTATCACCGAAAGGTGTTATAAAGTACATAGTGGGTGCTACTACCACAATAAACTGATATTGTTATCACTGAAAGGTGTTATAAAGTACATAGTGGATGTTGCTACCATTATAAACTGATAATGTTATCACTGAAAGGTGTAAATCAGTTTATCATGGTAGCAGCATCCACTATGTACTTTAAATATCAGTTTATCATGGTAGTAGCATCCACTATGTACTTTATAACACCTTTCAGTGATAACAATATCAGTTTATCATAGTAGCAGCATCCACTATGTACTTTATAACACCTTTCAGTGATAACAATATCAGTTTATCATGGTAGTAGCATCCACTATGTACTTTATAACACCTTTCAGTGATAACAATATCAGTTTATCACGGTAGCAGCATCCACTATGTACTTTATAACACCTTTCAGTGATAACATTGTTATCACTGAAAGGTGTTATAAAGTACATAGTGGATGCTGCTACCATGTTAAAGTGCTATGGTATCCCACTTTCTGGTTCAGCATGTGGTATGAAGTTAAAATTAGGATCTAATAATTTAGTTTATTCAAATAGTATGATGTTATAGAATTCAAAGAGGTTCTAAATGCACTGTTTTCCTTCACTCCCACCTACCATTTTGCAGTAACTTATCATAATGTGACACCTGTAATTTTTGTACATGTATTATTTACCAGCTCTGTGTTTAAACATTGATTTCTTTTATTTTCTGCTGGGCATTTTAGATCCCCCACTGAGTGAATGATGTCCATTGCACCAGTTTGTGGTTGTTTTTTTTTAATTTATCATTGTTTGTAGACAACACTTTATGTACTCGCTGTTCAGAAGTTCTGTACCCAGCCTGCTCACCGTTAATAAAACTTATAAGTGGCTTTGGACCAATTATAATGGGGCTGATATTTTAGAGGTATACGTGTGGTATAACTAGGTGTCTTCATACTGTTTTCACCCTCTTGTAACAGGGTGTCGAGAAGCGTCTTCTCTACTTCATGATCTGTCAACATATCCAGAATATGTGTGGCTCTATCTGGTTCAGTTTGTAGGTCTAAGTAGTGCTGAATTTCGATGTCATTTTCCAGAGGTTCATTTACCCTAGCGTTGCACGCAACAAGACTCCTCGTGGACTGATTTTACCCACAGATTAGTTCCTATTTCAGAGTTGATGTACTGAATAGAAACCCAACTTAACTCTAACATAAGATGACATCATATTTACCCTAGTGTTGCACGCAACAAGACTCCTCGTGGACTGATTTTACCGACAGATTAGTTCCTATCTCAGAGTTGATGTACTGAATAGAAACCCAACTTAACTCTAACATAAGATGACATCATATTTGTTGTAAATTATTATCAGTATTATTGTGTTGTAACACTAACAATCGACAAATAGATTGTATTTTGTTTATATAACACATTTGTTATACAATGTAATAAAGATGTATACTATTAAAATATACTAAAATGAAATAAGAGGGATAAGTAAAGAATATATAGACAACAATACAAAAATTAACAACTAAAACCAGAATTTTAAGTTCACGTCATATTATTAAATCATCTGTTCTTTCCAGCGACTTTTGAAATAATAGAGGCTACGAAGACACCATATATAAAGCTATTTGACGTCATAACAATTGAAGGGAGACAATTGTAGAAGTATGTGTAACACTTATGTCTGGTGAGGAAACAGCAACGGAATTAAAATGTAAGCTGTTGACTTACTAGTGCCATTTCAGTAAAAATATCTTTTCACACAGTGTTAATGTTTATTGTAGTTCATAAAAAGTTGCAAAGACACGTGATTAAGCCTTAGTGAAAGCGCCTCAGTTACAACACGTTCACTCTTGTAGAGTATGACGTGGTATGCATATTTAATGTAGTGCATAAGAAAATCATGTAACGTAATAATGCCCGTATCTCCAGTGACTCGGCCTTAAGTCTGACGTCTTATACATCAAAAACTGGGTTCGATACCGGCGATGGACAGAGAAATAGCCCATTGTGTAACATTGTGCTTAACAACAAACAAACAAAGCAAGACAGTAAACTATATAGCATCATTTGAGATATATTATAGTCCAAGAAATGTTTTTCTTATTCTTTCTGTTGGGAGAACAGGGCATTAGGTTTTCTTGATAGCAATAAAACCTTAGAATTATTATACCAGTGTAATATGTTCGGTGTGTTTATTACGGCTGTAAAAAATGTCAATTTTGTTTACATTATTTATGAATTACCGCCTGTTAAATGGTATTAATTTGTTGTACTATTGTCTATGAATTCTCCGCTCTAATGCCACTAACGTTCTACGCACATGGTGCAGGCATATTTTGAATAACTGTAATAGTTGTCCTTTAATCAAAATTTCATACATCTCACCAAATACTCTGTCTGTGAATAGGTGGTCACATGCCATAAAAAAGATTAGTCTTCGTAACTGGAGATTATTATAGTTGCTACATAGAATTTATTCAACAGACATCAACGATTTGAACACACCTGAAGATGGGATTTTTAATCTCTGGTTTACATCTTCAACTTCATTAAGTTCCTTTTTCTCCCACATTATAAAATAGGCAATAACTGAATGTAGAACATTTGCTCTGAAAAGTGGAATGGAGTGAACACACCCTGTAATATACTCAACGGTATTTTCTGGATACGTTGCTAGACTCTGATACCCAATGATATAAATATGATCCCAATTTGTTAGGCCTTTCTTTGCATGAAGGATGAGATTGAATAGTCAAAATTTAGTAGTATCTGTGTCACTATATGCTGAAAATGGAGGCGCAGTCCTACCACTGAGGCATTTTTGGTTGGCAGAACAAAATTTTGGTGCAGGTAGGTACTTGTTGTCTCTTTTCAGCTTTTAGGTTGTCATGGCTAAAGTTAAAAGTAAAACAATTCTAGGTTATCGTGGTTGAAGTTAGAGGTAAGACAATTCTAGGTGATCATGGTTTAAGTTAAAAGCAAGACAATTCTAGGTTATCATGGCTGAAGTTAAAGATAAGACAATTCTAGATGATCATGGTTGAAGTTAAAGATAAGACAATTCTAGATGATCGTGGTTGAAGTTAAAGATAAGACAATTCTAGATGATCATGGCTGAAGTTAAAGATAAAACAATTCTAGGTGATCATGGCTGAAGTGAAAGATAAGAAAATTCCAAATGATCATGGCTGAAGTTAAAGATAAAACAATTCTAGAACTAGATTGGACTTTGAATTACTTTTACTGTATATTTTAAAAGAAGTCGCCAACGAAAGAACAACGTTATAACAATATATTAAGTGAGTACCTGTTAGGCCTACCGGTACTTTGGTTGCGTCAAGTATAAAACAGATAAGTGTCAAGCTTTCGATTGTTGTCTGGTGATATCAATGATGTAGTGACTTATGTATTATCTGCATGGCAAGGACCACAATTAAAGAGTCGAGATTGTAAAGAAGAAGAAGAAGAACACCACCAACAACAAAAAACTACACACACACACATTCAACGTGAATTTAGTCCAATAATATATACTTTAATAGAAACAAAGTTACAAATGCTTAGCCTATAGAACAGCAGAAAGAGAGTAGATCTAAGGCGTTAAGTAGATTTATAAAAAAGTATTTTCCTGTTGAGAAAGCCAGTAACTGACGTTGCTTTTGTAATATGAGGCTACCCCGTGATGAATCCCCTTAGTAACTCTTAAACAGGTAATAGAACACACTTCGTACGACTTTGCGTTTTTCTTCTTATTTCTTTTTTATAAAAGTTTAGTAATCAGTATAGAAGGTTTATATATGGGATGTGTGATTTTATTACTGAACGAAAATGAAACGTGTGCCATCTGTCAGAAGTGAGTCCTAAGTTTCGGGAGCCAACCGTTTTGAAGACTCGATTACACTCCCTAAGTCTCATCTATTGAAGGTCCTTGTTGTTCTTTGTGTCCTAACTTAGTGGTTATATGCCCTGTTTGATTAGTTCAGTACGGGAAACAAAAGTAAACGTGTTTGTTTCAATAGTTGTTCTCCGACCACGAATGATGACGGCTGATGTTATGTCACTGCATAAGTCAAAGTCAGTTTATTTGTTATGTTCGATGATAATTAATCTCTAACCACGAATGATGACGGCTGATGTTATGTCACTGCATAAGTCAAAGTCAGTTTATTTGTTATGTTCGATGATAATTAATCTCTAACCACGAATGATGACGGCTGATGTTATGTCACTGCATAAGTCAAAGTCAGTTTATTTTTTATGTTCAATGATAATTAATCTCTAACCACGAATGATGACGGCTGATGTTATGGCA